AGATTGAAGACTTCCGCAAAAGCGATAATGGTGTAATGTTATCTACTGACGTTATGTCTCGAGGTATAGACATCCAAGACATTGATTGGGTCCTTCAATTTGAGATACCCAAGCTGTCGAGGTATTTGCTGAAAATAATGCCAGCCAACATTGATTTTTTTGTACTGATCTTTTTTAGCTGGTTTGTGCATCGCTCAGGACGAACTGCTCGTTGTGGTAGAGATGGCAATGCTTTGCTGGTAATTACTCCGCAACAAACAGCCTACATTGACTACTTACGGAAGCACGAACAGGTAAGACCTTTTTGGTTTTGCTGCATTTCTCAAAACTTTATTTTCTGCTAATTTTCTTTATGCCACTTGCAGGTGGAACTGAAGCAACTCTCTGTACCTACCAGCAATGCATCGAAAGCGGAACAGCTAAGAGAGAAAATAGCGAAGATTTTATGTTCGGATCGGTGAGTGCAAACTTAGCATAACTTAGTTTCATGAGTGCTTAATCTTTTCTGATGCTTTCATAGATTGTTGCACTTCCTGTTTTCTTGGAGGTCAGGTATTCGTTTGAGTTCAACCATACATTACCGTTGTTACGGCGTTGTCTGTTATCATTCACAACCTTTTCTACCGTTGTTATTGGTAATCCGCTTTGAACGAATGATCGGTCTCACGACATCATTTTTCATTGGCTGATTGCTGACCATTTTGTTTTCACATCGGGAAAATGGTAAGAAGGCAAACTGAAAAAAATGGTATCGCGGAGCTGGTCACCGAATCTTTCTAGATCATGCCATTTTTGGTTGATTATTCGCTTTGAATTATCTAGACATTGAGCGAGTATTTGAATTCTGAATCATGCGATAATACTTTGAATGCTTTCATGACTTACTTTTACTAAACGTAAATCCGATGGAAGCACTTTCGGTGATCTCATGCATTTCATGCAAGTATTTTCAGTTCCATAATTTGCAGAGTTGAAGAGCTTTTAACACGAAATACTTGGTTTTTGCTGACTCAAATTATCATGTTTTCAGGGAGGTTATGGAAGCAGGATCTCGAGCCTTTGTTTCCCACATTGAAAGTTACGTCAAGCACGATTGTAATATAGTGTGCGGACTGAAAGGTATGTCAACTTTTGTGATAGTTCGCAGTCTTTTGGTATTTCTCGTTTATGTGAGAGCAGTGAATTATTAGCCATTTAAAAGATATTTTTCGATTTGGTTTAGTGGGAATATAATAATATTATGCTCAGATTTGGACGTTGCCGGATTGGCACATGCATATGGCCTTCTTCGGTTGCCGAAAATGCGAGAGCTAAGTGGCAGGAAAGATTTGGATAACTTCAAGAGAAGTGATGTTGACACATCGACGATAAAATACGCCAACCCGGCCCTGGAGAAAAAACGAAATGAGGTGCTAAATCCGCTGTTTCGAACTGTCTTATAAACACACAGTTTTCTAGATTATGGCGGAAAAGCATGAAAAAAGATTGAAGGCGATGAAGGAGTTCATGGCTAAGAAGTCAGCGAACAAGGCGAAAGAAGGCAAGCTAGTAAAGAAAGGTGGCAAAGCACAGAACGGAAAGACCAAGGTTTGTGAGGACTTCACTATGAGTTAGAAATCAAGCTCTGTGGTCTAGGACTCGAAGCCACTGAAAAGGAAAATTGAGCAGAATGCCGCTGAAGAGAAGGACGATTTGGAAAATGACATGAAGCTCATGAAGAAGATCAAGAAGGGAAGGTTGAGCAAAAAAGAACTTCGGAATGTGTTGTAACCATCTTTGCTATGTATATTTTGAAATCGTTGTGTCAAATGTTGTTACAGCTTGATTGTTGAATTTGTGCATTGATTTGCACATTGTTGTTACTTGTTTGAGTATAAATATTAGTAACTTTTTGAGATTGCGGAATAATGAGATAGAGTCAATGCTTGATTCTATTTTTCTTATGCTCAGGAAGGGTTGGAAGTAGGTGTGTTGTCTGGTTCTAAAACTTATTACCTCTGCCAAACTTCCGCTTTGAAAACTAAAATGTCGTCTTGGAAGGAGGATATCTCAATGCTTCAATCATTTCTGCACTTTGCTCTCCAATCTTGAATGCTGGGTTGATAAGGACTCGGTTGTGGCGAGATAATCAGGGCTGGCACAGATGGCTTATAATCAAGCTGGGTATCGTTTTTGAGACAAAAAGCGAAGGGGATAACGTTTTGCTGGTTAAAAAATACTTTACTCCAGTCATTGCTTGTTTAGGGTTTTTTTTTAACGTTTAAATGTTTGGTGTCAAAGAGACTTTGGTGAACTTTTGCGAAAATTGAGGGGAACCTCGTTGCGTTTTCGGATAGCCACCCCGTGCCGAGATAGTATGTAAATTTGTACCCTTTACTGCTTCATTCCTTCCCAATTTATTTGAATCTCGCTTTGTTCCTTGGCACGAGATCAATATTTGAATTTAAAAGACAAATCGCTTGTCCACGCAAATACAATTCAGTTGATCATCAGAGGGCAGAAAGGAATAAGAAGTCAACTACAAGAAAGAAGTGAAAAGTCGGTTTCGCAGGTTTCACATTTTCTTTTCATTCCTTGTTATATGAACCAACATCTCTGTCATGAAATGGAACCAGTATGATCAATCATCGCAAGAAAAATTCTCATTTTGACTTTCGCGCGCCCTTGTCGAACCTGTTAGGACGTGTTTTGGTATCTTCATGGAACAGTGAAGATACGGGGCTTCCGTATGCACATGTGCTTACAC